CATGATCCATGATCCCAACAATGAATGTAACTGTACTGTATCCCTAAAATGTACCAATAAACTCAATAAAATTAAAAAAAAAAGAAACATGTCTTATTGATCTCTAAATGAAGAAGAGAACAAATCAAAAGAGGAAAAAACAAAGCTAAAATTAAAGTAAAAATTTGTGTTGAGAAGTAAAGTGTCTTGTGGGGTGAAGTAACAGTGCAAAACTAGTATTTTGATAGAGATTACAAGCTGGATGAAACAAGGCTGAAATAAAATTAATTGTGTCAAAAAATAATGTAGACAGGGTGGGGGATTTAGCTCAGTGGTGCCACCTGCCTCTTAAGTGCAAGGTCCTGAGTTGATCCGTGGTGCACAAAAAAAAAAAAAAAAAAAGTAGACAGCGATTGGATGTCCGAATGAGAAATTTAGAGTAGACCAGGATTTTGATCTGGAAGATTAAGTGAAAAAGCACCAGCTAGGCTTTACATTTGTCAGTTTCTTTTAAAATGGATATTTGTTATTATGAAGCATTGTAAAAGAAATACTAAAAGTAAAAATTGCTCCTGTAATATCTCCTCAGTAACCTGTTTCTCTCTCCATTGTAACAGTCATGTTAATATTTTAAGTATTTTAGCTGGGCATGGTGGCGCACACCTGTAATCCCAGCACTCGGGAGGCTGAGTCAGGAGGATCGCTGTGAGTTCAAGATCAGCCTAGGCTACACAGTGAGTTCCAGAGCAGTCTGAACTACATTGTGAGACCCAGTCTCAAAAAAAAAAAAAGTTTTTTTTTTTTTTAAAGTATTTTGCCCCTCTGTCCTTATTGCTTATATTGGTCCAAGGTTTCTAAACCAAGGGATCCTTGAAATACTTATTTCCTTGTTTGAACAGAATCAGACATAGGGAGGACTTTTAGGGTGACCTATGAATTTGTGCTAAACGAGATATCCAGATACTTGTTTAAAGTGTTTTGAACCACGCTATTTTGTCAGTTTCTGAGAGTGCCATGTTCAATCTTGCATAATCGTCAGTCATCAAAAAGTCTTTGCTGCTTTATAAATGTTTGTTTTATATAATGTGAATTTCTGTTATGTTCTCTACATGCATTAATCTATCATTAAATGATGACTTCAGCCATTTATCAGTTTTTGGTGAAAGTTCGTATTTGTATTTGTATCTTTTCATGTTATTTCTGTTAACTGCATTTTTTATCCCTTTCTCCTCACTGTGGAAAATGATTTAAACAATATGTAGTGACCTTCTTTGTCTCTTCTAATCAGTTTTAATCTTAAATTTACTATGTCTGAGATTACAATTGCTATACCCCTACTTTGTTTTTAGGGTGTTGGTACATAAAATATTGTTTTCCATCCTTTGATTTTCAGTTTGTGAATATCCTTTTGGATTAGATTAATTTCTTGCACATATGTGTGTGGGTGTATTTTGAGACAGGGTCTTGCTGTGTAGTTCAGGCTGACCCTGAACTCACTATGTATCCCAGCCTGGCCTCAAGCTTGAGGAAATCCTCCTGCTTCAGCCTCCCAAGTGCTGACATTACAGGCATGCATCACCATTCCCAGCTCTCTGATTGCTTTTAGAATTCTGGTTGGTTTATTTATTTATTTATTTTTGGGTTGAATGTCTGGCAATTTGAAAAGGATATGTCTTGGTGAGCTTCTTTTTTCATCATAGTTCTTGGTGTTCTGGTACCCTCACTTGTACATTGAACTTTTCTCATATTTTGGAAAATTTCTGATATGATTTCTGTTATATATATTTATAATTTCATCTGTGTTACTGTTTAGTTACTCCAGTTAGCTTTAGGTTGGTCTTTTTAGTGTCATATTAGTAGCTGATTATTTATTTTGGCTCCTCTCAGCACTTCTTTATAATTTTCCATTTTTTTCCTCTATTTCAGATTGGAAAATAGAATGTTGAGCAGAATAAATCAGGCATACAAGCTTAAATACCATACAGTATCTCTCATTTGAATAAGGCAATATAGAGCACAATAAAGGATGAATAGGAGACAAGGAGATGGAACTCTTAAATTGGAAAGGGATCCAAGTAAATATGGTTGAGAAGAGAGGGGAAGAGGAAGGGGAAACGCATAGAATAACCTCAATGAATATGCAAATTATATGTCATAAACGTGAGATAAGATTAATAATAACAAGAATGAAAATGGGGAAAAGGGGATTTAGAGAAGGAGGGAGGTGGAAGGGAAGGGGAGCAAAAAGAAAAGAACCAAGCTGTATTGTGTACATGTTCCCACTCCCCAAGATGATTGTAAACTGCATATATTGCAAACTTACACCCCCCGTGGTACTGGGGATTGGACTTGGATCCTTGTACTTGCAAGGCAGGCAGTGGTACCACTGAGCTAAATCCCTGGCCCTGCAAACATACTAATTTTTAAGAAGTAGTTGCAAAAAAGAAATTGATGAAATATTTCTTTTTCCTTTTCTGTTTTCAAGTTTTTGTTGTTTAAACTTAAAAACATAACTACTTAATAAAGTTTTTTCACTGTACCTCACTTATCTGTAATCAGTTCTAAAAATTATTATTTTCCTTATTTCTATGAACAATAAAATCAATCTTTGAATGTTTTTTCCCTGAATACCATTTTTTCATCTTCCAAGTTCCATAGTCTCTGAATTTGGTTCCCTATCAGGTTTGAAAGGATACTGTTTTGGCCATTTGACTTTTAGGGTATAGTAACACACTTCTAATGTTAATTCAGCCTCGTATTCTGACTATATCAATTTAATTTTTAGAAAATCCATAGTTTTTACAGTTTTTTGGAGATGACTTTTTGGCAGCTTGTAGTATATTTCCTTATGGCTTAGATTGGTTAACTGTTGTCAAAATAAAGTTTTAAAAGTAACTTGTTTTTAATATTATTAATCCTTTTTTTTTTTTTTGTACCGGGGATTGAACTCAGATCCTTGAGCTTGCAAGGCAGGCCACCGAACCACTGAGCTAAATCTCTGGCAATATTATTAATCTTTAAAAAAAAAAATTTTTTTTTTTTCTTTTTTGGAACTGGGGATTGAACTCGGTACCTTGCACTTGTGAGGCAGGTGGCGGAACCACCTAGCTTGTTAACCTTTTATTTACATTTATAAATCATTCTGAGTTCATTTGTATTTTCTGTCTTAAATCATACAATAATTTATTTTTCTGTGTTTATTTAATGGGCAGTAATCATCTCAGAAATCTTTCTCTTCATCAGATGTTTGATCCCCTTGCAAAAGTTTTTTTGGTCTTCACACTTAAATGTGGACCTTTGCTCCATAAATTTGTGATTTTCCTATTGGGTTGCATTCTGAAGCTCTTCTGAAGAAAACTGAATCCAACCCATACTTCTGTGAAAGGCAGCCTCTGCCAAAAGGAATAGCGCATACTTTTGTATTTGGCCAAACTGAGAGAAGTGTTCTCTGAGCTCATTCAATGCCACAGTCCCAGGGCATTTTCCTGACAAAAGCCGCTGGCTGATTAACACTTGCATGAAGCACCAGCACTACTCTCCACAGAGGCTTGTCATTTTTACAATAGTACAATAATTTACCTTTTTTTGGAGGGGGTACCTGGAATCAGACCTTGTGCTTTCGAGGCAAGTGGCAGCACTACTGAGCTAAATCTCTGGCCCACTTTTTTCTTTTTTTGAGATGGAGCCGTGCTATATAGTTCAGGGTGCTCTTCAACTCATTATGCAGCCGAGGCTGGTCTTAAACTCATGGCAATTCTCCTGCCTCAGCCTTCTGAGTGCTTGGATTACAGGTGTGCACCACCAGACCTGGCTGAAAAGTATAATAAGTTAAAGCTCTGAAATTATCTGAATATTTCTTTGTTCAGAATGAGAAGTGCTTCAAAGAGTGAGTTATGATCACACACACAAACACACACACACACACACA